ACATTCAGGTATGGTGTCTGTAGAAGGACAACAGAGACCAAATGTGAATACTCTACATCCCCTTTCTTTAGCTCTTCCTACAGTAGTAAACAAAACAGTTGTACTGAGCACATATGACAGAACATACAAAGTGCTGCAAATGTACAGATTATCAAATATGTGTGCATTTAGTAACTGATAAACACAAAAGCTATCTCAAAGAATAAGTGTAGCAATTCCCTCAGTAACTAGAAAATGCATTTCCTGGTGAAAATGTGTGTGCATGTTGTAAACTGTGAACATTTGTGGCTGAATTTAGCTGAAAATGCAGAAAAAGCTGAATATTATGTTAGTTGAATGGTCTCTGTATGCTTTTAGCTACAAAAACCAAGTAAGTGTGTTGCTGAACTTAGCGGAGAAATGCAGAAAAGTGAAATGATTTGAATCAAAATTGTTGCAGCTCAAATGCATTGCAATGACTTTGTTGAAAACTTGAAAGTGAAATGTTAAACTGAAGAGTAGGAAAAATAGTGAAGAAGCTTAATATTTAAAAGAAAAGGTTTAAAAAAGGTATAAACAACCAAATGTATAGCCTCAATGTCCTGAAATAGCTGAATAAGTTAATAGTTGAATGGTTTATAGCTGAAAGTAGGCTGAAGGAGTTAGATATGAAATGTAAATAGTAGTGAATGAATATGTATTCAGAAGAGAAAAGAAAGTAAAAAGGCTTGGGAAAGCAGCAGAATATTTTAACTGCAAACTTTTGAACTAAAACCAAACATCACCAATAATGTATAAAATATGTGGCACGTGTTGAAGTCAGTATGAAGTCTCCATCAAACAGAAAATAATAGGCTGAGACAGTCTTTAACTCCAGTCTGTTTGTTTGTGTTTGAGGTGACTACGTTATGAAACACCTGTGTGTGTATACCGAGAGTGAATACCGGTGAATACACATACTTTACAGAGATGCTGTATGCGAAACCAATGTGAGTTTGGAAAATTGCACAGTATAAATCTATTTTAGTATACCTCAACAATGGAATTATGATCAGTAGAAATGGCCATGACATGGGACCTTTAACAGCCTTGATTAGTGTTAAATCACAGTCTCTCAGGAGCACTTTCCTTAAGTTGTCATTACTGATACCACAGACTAGTCTATCTCTGATTAGTTCTTCACAGAGATTTCCAAAGTTGCAGCTTTTTGCCTTGATCCTTACGGCCGTCCACACAGCGGCGTGCGATGAAGCTTCAACGCTTCTGCCCATTCACGTTGAATGGCGTGACGTCAAGCTTCGCCGAACTGTATTGTGGGAGCGAAGCGTAGCTTTGCGCGCGTTGCTCGCTGCAAAAAGTTGAGCAATGTTCAACTTTTGAAGCTTTTGAAGCTTCGGTGGAAGCGTCAGCCAATCAAATCCCGTTTATGCAAATCTGCCAGTACAAGCGCTAGCCAAACAAACCGCGTGTATGCTGGGAGAGACATATTCCAAAAAATGGAGGAGAAATTAATTATAACGGTAGGGAATCACCCGGTGCTTTACGACCAGTCCCTATTTACCTACCGGGATACAAACCGGAGGAGCCAGGCATGGAGGGAGGTGGCAGAGACAGTGGGTGAAACTGGTAGGTTTTCGCCTGTTTGGGGAGTTTATATCCAGTTTACTTCGTAAACTGTATGTCGGGGGCGGGAGATTCATGTGATTGGTTGTTGGTCGCGTTGCACGCCGCTGTGTGGACGGGCCGTTAAAGCACTGACATACGATTCAATTGACTCACCAACTTTTTGATTCCTTGTATTGAACTTGTGTCTTTCCATGGTGACATTCGTTTGAGGGTTGCACATCTCCCTACATTTTCTTTTCAGATACTCCGGGTCTTCTTTAGACTCGATGATGTGCGCGTCGTCGCCAGGACCCCTCACCTCAGCCGCATAGACAAAAGACCTCTCGCACTCGATGGCCTCTGGTCCCGTTATATTGAGGAGAATGTATGGCCGTGTGCGAGTTGGCTTGTCATAGTGTGCCGCCGCGAAGAAAATGTAATATTCCTGTTTGAATACCCGCCAGTTCTCTGCGATGTTACCGTTAAAGACGAGTGGGTCGGGTCTCCGGAATCCATCCGCCATGTTAGCTTAGCTGCGTGGAATAGAACTTGGAACTACCCCTAGTGGAAATCCAACAAAAAACGGGCCGGGTTTGGCACGGCACGCTTAAACCGTGCTACGCGCTGCAGTGGAAATGCGCCATTAGATTGATCTCTGTTTGAACCCTCATGCAATGAAACAAGTAGAAACAGTCAATGTTAAATGCTGACAAATTGGCATCATGAATGAAAAGGTTATTTGGAAGTTTTTAAGGGATTTCATTATCTGTGATTAATTATAGTTCAGAGAGGTATTATTACAATGTAGTTCTCAAGGGCATCAATGCACTCACTCTGCCATTTGCTAAAGGTCTTAGCATCCAAAGATCATTGACACATCCGTCCTGCTGCAGTTTCCTCCCCCATACTCTGCATCTATTCTAATTGTCACAGCGATTGACTCCCATTATAAGCCAATTCTCCTTTTTAACTAAAAACAATTGAGTTTGGTTCTCTTGTTTCTGCCTCAGGCGAGCACTAGAGCTCAGCGACATTTCAGACACTTCACAGTCAACAGCGTACAGATGGAGGATGAATTAAAAGTTAAAGAGGATGAGTCTGGGGGTGTTTCTCAATGTCGAGGACGCTTCCTTGGTAGGACATGTCTTCCGAGTCAGGGGGTGTTTCTCAATGTCGAGGAAGGCTCCTCCAGATCCACTATTTCAAGGATGCTACGTCATCGAGTCCCACCGAAGGACTGTTCCAATGTCCAGGATCCTTGGAATTCTACCGAGGCCGGCGTCCTTCGTTGCGGGAAATTTCGAGGCTGCACATGTGTATCCTCCGCGGTCTTAAAATCCCCACAATGCTTTGCGCACGGACCAATTTCCAAAATCTTTGGCGGAAATCGCGCTCCATTTAAGGCGGGGCCTCACATATGATGCACACCTGCACACCTGTTAGCCTGTTCCACCATTTTTTGATATCCGAGGCTAGGAAGGATTCTTGCCTAGCATCTGAAGGACCTGACTCGGAAGACATGTCCTACCAAGGAAGCCTCCTCGACATTGAGAAACACCCAGGTCCTTCAGAGGCTAGGCAAGAATCCTTCCTGGCATTCAGAGAACGAAGAATGGAACAGGCTAGCAAGTGTGCAGGTGTGCATCATATGTGAGGCCCCGCCTTAAATTGAGCGCGATTTGTTTGAAGACTCATAACTGATTTGCGAAGATCGTACTTGAGTAACTGTATTTTGTAAAATGATCATCTCTCCAGGACAGAACCACTAAACTAACATAGAACGTTCTCCTTCTGTTTGCAGCCTTGAAAAAGTCCTGGAGGATAAGCAGCCATAAGAAAATCATAAAATCACCATCACCAATCAATAATAAAATATATCATACTTGATGTCTGCAAACCTTTTTTACACATATTGGTGCACATTGTAGCATAAACCACAAATATCTACAAAAGAGGCAAAGTCAAAACAAGGTTCATTTTAATTATTTATTTAGGTGCAAAACGCTCTAAGGTCTCATTCACACCTAATAGTCCGCTTCTCTGGTGCGCACCAGACGACAGTTTGTTACATTGTTTCATTTTTCAGAAGGTTCGGTTTGCGTTCACACGGGCAAAACTCAAAAGGACTATATACTTTAAACACAAGTCATGTGCACATTTACTACGCCACTGAACATACTTACTTTTAAGATTTTGGAAATTGTTCCGTGCCCAAAGCATTGTGGGGCTTTTAAGACCGCCGAGGATACACATGCGCATCCTCGAAATGTCCCGCAACGAAGGACTCAGTCCTCGGTAGAATTCTAAGGATCCTGATCTGGACATTGGAACAGTCCTTCGGCGGGATTCGATGATGTAGCATCCGTGAAATAGTGGCTCTGAAGGATCCTTCCTTGACATTGAGAAACACCCACACAATGAGGAGAGGAGACAACTGACAACAAAGTGATGTCGACCACTTGCACTACATGTCTGGGTGAACAACGTTAAGCTGCTGATAACAGCTTCTGTGGGATTTTTGCTCCAGCTGCCAAGTTTCACTGTCTAAACACAATCAGCTGTGCATGAACTCTACCTTGATGATGTAGGGTTGATAAATAGACAATGTTGGGGATGGTACTTTGAAGGTGTAGCTTTGAAAACAACATATTACTCCAACATTCCCCTACCATTGGGATACATCTAGTTGGTACTGCTGATGTTAAGAAAAAGTAGTTCAATGTATTCTGTAAACAAATTATCAAAATGACACAGTTCATGTGATAGTGAATTATAACAAAATACAATATAACATTTTTGACATGTAAGCAAAAAATGCAACTCAATTGTTTTTATCCCAAAAAGGTGCCGACTAGTTTAGAGGACGTACATACTGTAAACCTACCAACAACAAAAAAATATTCGACTTATATTTAATGAAGAAAAATTGAAGTATAGAATCAATAGTAAAAAAAAGCAACAATAAACAACAACATCCCTTTTCCCAAGTGTGTGGTATAACTGATTTTATGTTTAATTACAAGCCACTACTTCCTAACACTGTAGTGTAAATGTTTAACACTTACATTAAAAATTGAATTTCCTGGATGAAAAACAAGGAATCAATTAGAGCTTGCGGTACTACACAGTTTTGATTACTCTGTGCCAAAAACACATTTTCTCTTTACGATTGGATGTTGAGATTTGACCTTTTGTATATTTGTCTGCCAAGCAGAAATACATTCTTTTTCTGGGCAGACATTGTGAGGAGCTCACACAAATTGCTAAGTGAACGCCTACATTTCTACTGAGTGCAATCGCACATCACTCTGAACAAGAGGAGGATGATGTATCCGTCAATATGGTGGTAAATGGACTAGACACATTATCAGGACAGACACGACAAACAAAACATCAGAGGCAAAATGTCCCTTTAATTTGCACAAATGGGACAAAAAGTAAATTGTTGAAGCATTTATGTTGTGTCATAGACTTTGTCACAATGCTTTATTTTTATTTATTGAGGTCATAGTGGCCCTGTGTTGTGTTTTTATGTGTTATGTGGATGTATTTTGGAGAGGGTGAATGTCGGGTCATCACACTGGACTCAAATCCACAAACCTTTACAACAGGAGACAAAAGACACAATGTAAAAATAAACACCATCCTTTTTTGGTGCAAGGTCTGAAAAGGACAATGTGTTTCTGTTTACACTGAAATTAAAAAGTAAACAAAAAATAAACCCTGTCATTTTTCCAAAAACATTATCTTTAGGGGTGATTAACCAGTATCGAACTTTGCAAAAATAAAAAAGTTTATTTTCAATCAACTTCAAATACCTGAAGTTAAAAGGGCTTAATTAATGTAAATAAACAATGTCCACTAAATGGAGGATCAACACAGGATTAACGAAAGCATGCAACTCAATATATTTTAATAGGAAACAAATAAATGTCAGTGTTATAACAGTGGCACAGAACAAGTAACAACTGTTCATCATGAAAACAATTCAAAGCTTCTTCTAAAAAACTAAACTTCAAATCCGAATACAGAGCATGGACACGCGGACAAAGAGCAAAGCAAAGAGGCAGCAGGATGAGCTCCTTATCTGATGATTCAAATCTTTCCCTTAACACCTGGACTCTACTGAACAGCCATTTTTCTTTGTCGTACTGTCGATGTTTGTTGTTTTTATAATGGAGAGTCTGTTTTGTTATGGCACAATGTGATCTAAGAGAGACACTTAAATGAAATATGTTTCATATATAGGCCCTCCCTCCCACCAAGACATGACTGCTAGTGATGCTGCTGTATCAGATAAACAAACATAAATGGCTATTTATTTGCCTAACAGACAATATTCAAATCACGTCTTTATTTACCCTATGTTCAGGGTGTTTGAAGGTCCTCGGAAATGAAAACCAACTAACCAAACCAAGTTAATCTCAAAACACCTCAAATATAATTTGCGCAATTATGTTTTGACTTTCTGCTAGACTTCTAATGTACAACCACACATAACTTCACAGAAATACATTTCTGAGAAAGTCCAACATGAAACAGAGCGACACAAAGTCACAAAAATATGTTTTTAATAAATAATGTTTAATCAAATACCACAATGATAAAGCGGTTTTTGTTTCTGCTACCTTGTCAACAGATATATGACAATTCCTCTGAGTCCTTTTTGGGTCAAAGCCATTGTGATATTGCAATATTTATGAGAATCCTTCCTGTCCCCTTCATTTTACAAAAGTGATTTTTAACTGTCCTAAGATGCATTTTGTTCCTCTTGTATCAAATTACTTGTGAATATGTTTTGTTTTGTGAAGTTTAAGTACAGACATCACTCCGCAAAGGCTGAAATTGCTACAATAAACTTAAGCACGACCATATTTTCACAAAATAAACATAGAGTGGGTAGACAAAATAACAAAGACACCTTTCAATATGCAACTCAGTACAACAACAGTACAAAGCTTGAGGACAACACAACTCTCACACCTGTCAGTTAAGTAAAATGATAAAGTAAGGGGCAGGTTAGCTAGCTTAGCATAAAGACTGGAAACAGGGGAAAACAGCTAGCATGGCTCTGTCCACAGCCCATTTGTCCTAGTAGCCAATCCTGGTAATGAAACCCCCCCAAAAATCCATTGCTGTCTAAAACCATTCCCCCCATTAACCACCCTCAAAAAGAAATGTAAGTACCTCTCTACAAGAACGTGAATAACTGTTTTTTTTACCAAAGCGTGAAACTAGCATCCAGTTGTGTTTACATCTCCCTGTATTTCACAATATTGAATACATTTGGAGGTGTTTCTGTTATTTTGTCTACCCCCTGTATCTCTCTGGTTGATTTCACTCTAATCCAACTTTCCGCTCTCCCCGGGCTGTTAGCATATCCGACCCTCCGACCCTCCGGAGCCTCGCCTCGATCAGACCCAGGCGTGGAGGCTGCCGGCCCAGTCCAACAGTCGCCCTCGGTACCAGGCACGTGAGATCGGCTGAATGAGAAGCAGGATTCGAAACCTTCGGACCAGCCCGCAGAAAATGGCCGCCGCCACGACCACGAGCGGTGACATCATCACAAAACCCAAGATGATGAGGGCGGAGCAGCTGTTGTCATCAAGGTAGCGGCATATCGCAGTGGGGGCGTCAAGGACCTACAAGGAAAAACACAGAGGCATCATTAAAGCAGACATGGGGGGGCCCAGAGGACATGATGCACCTTTTGGGATCAGCAGGGGCTTCTTCTCTTCTGTCACAAAGCAAAGAGGTGGGAATTATTATTTGTGTGTGTCGATCTATGCTCGATGTGCAGAATGACGTTGTGGGTAGTGGGCTGTGAAAGAGTTTCTCCCAGCCTCCCTCCGCAGTTCAGATAAGAAATGGCTCAGTAGCTGTCAGTAACCCTCTGAGCTGTCAATCACCTTGTGAGGGCGAACGAGAGGGAGGAGGAAAGAGATGGGAACTATAAAGACGTAAAACGGGCAGCTTCACAAGTACACTAACATCTTCACAAAAACATACAGACACAAAGTACGAGAACATCATCTCTTTCTCTGTCAAGCCCACTCAGACAAACTAAATCTCCTATTGTAAGACTTTTCAAAAGGAGCTTCCCCTCCACCAAAAGCACCCTAGCAACGGCAGTGTCTAACTCACTCATGAACACACAGACACACACACCTCTGTCAAGTGCACTGTGCTCTCTCACAGTACAGCGTGTCAGTGCACAGCTGGCACCAAACCAGACACTCTTGTCTTCTCAGTGGGGCCCTTTCGCCATGTTCAGTCTGTCTCCACAAAAGGGAGAACTCTCTGACTGACATTGTCTGTAATTGTTTGCTCAGAACTGACATTTGCTCTGGCATAACCGCGATAATAGTCGCGTTGCATGCGCACGCATTCAATGTTCTTCATTATTGTATGCTCTTGTCATACTTCAGAAACCAAATCATTCAACACAGGGAAACCAGGGGGAAAGGACCAACTGTATCGAATGTAGGATGTGGTGTTATGAACAATATGTTATGAAACCCGTTGGTTGTGAATTTCAGTTTTAAAGCCTCGAGGTAAGCATTTTGACCATCACCATCTTGTATATTTGGAACCATACGTGACTGGAGAGGGTGGAGCAAAATGCCAAAATACAACCAAGCACTGAAAAAGACATATTGAAGCGACCATAAATGTTTTAACTGACTTAAATTTGATAACATCCATGAACTGAAAACACTTTGAGGGTTAATGTTGTAAACTGAAGAAACTGACAACATTCAACAAAAGGGGTAGCAACCTGTCAATCCCAAGATAGCCCAAACCAAAGTCAGGAAAAGGGTAAATGTACTCATACACTTCTATGCAACCCGAGATTTCCTTTTGTAATGATGGCCATTAGAGAGAATGCAGGTTTAAGGCACTTTTCCAAATTGGCTTCATTTTAAATACCTCGAGGGTGCTGTTTGGTTACAACCTGTGCAGTGAGACGAAGACAAAGCTGTATATCTTCACAGCATGAATCAGCATGATGCGTGCAATCACAATATTTTACTGATGATCTGTCTGCCCCGCATATCACTCATCCAAATAACAAGGCGCACCCTTCTCCTCACCTCATAACAAGAAAACTGACAAGCTCCAGCATTCACTTTAATCAATTGAAAGCTTCAAAACTATAGGTACAACCCGGATAAAAAAGCCTGAAAAACGTTGTGGAGATAGTGTCAGGTATAGATGTATCACTGCTGTTAAAAAGGCTGTCTGTTTCCCTCAAAGACTCCAGGTGCCAGTTAGAGATAATCCTCTTTCTAAATGTCACAAGATTACTTGCCTAAACTTCCCTTGAAAAGTGCAGATGTCCTTCTTGTTGGATATGTAAACATACTGTCAGGTCAACACAGAGAGCACTTTCCTTTTTAAAGCTGCAGGATGTTTTTTTTAGCCACTCGGGGGAGCAGAATAAGCTGTAGAGACAACACTGACATATTATCACATTCAACATTATTATTCATCTAATTGATCATGTGACTTTGTTCACATGATCAATTACTCTGCTTAAAGCTCTGTTTTGCTCTTCAACAACTCCTTGAGAAAGAAACGTCTGGCCCTCTAGCTAGTAAATACTTCTTAATGTTCACCTGTTATCCATTAACTGTGTCTGACTAAAAACAGGTGCTTGCTTTAGCTGAAACACGAAATTAATGATCATTTTATGTGGGTTTACTTAATGAGCGACATTTTTACATCAGTAGTCAACTAGAATAATAGTAAACTTGTCCTCTCAGCTTGTAAATTAACAATAACCACATAACAGAGTGATATCTCACCCTGGAGTGGCAGAGGAACCCGGCGTACAGCAGCAGCATTGCAGGAAGCAGCACCACAGAGAAGACAACAGCCAGGAGCAAAGCGCTGGCTGAAACCACAAAGATGTCCCAGAGGACGAGGGCCGCCCCACAGGCCAGGCATCCCACCCTGCCCCTGCGGCTGCCCCATGCACTGCCCCCGCTGTGGGCCACAGGAGGGGGCAGCATCTTCACTCCCTCCCCGATCCAGAACTCATCTTCTTTCTCTTCCTCGACTGAACCATCCTCCAGGTCCACATCCACACCACACATCCTGAGGCAGAAGGAGAGATAGAAAATGAGAGAGCGGATTTAGGGGTAATACTGATACATCCCTTGAGTTGTTATTTAATGGATGAAAAAGAGATAGAATTAGAGAATATGCATGCAAAAACATTCCTGTGCCTTTTTAAATGTGTATAATGATAATCTGTTTTAATGGACAATTAAGTTATTTAACATATTTGCAATGCCCTGCCCCCCTTCTTCTCTTTAAAAAAAAATCAATTCAGCCAATAACTCGTTGTAACTATGTAAATGAGGAACATAGCCTGCTTTGACAGAACACACACACACACACACACACACACACACACACACACACACACACACACACACACACACACACACACACACACACACACACACACACACACACACACACACACACACACACACACACACACACACACCACACACACACACACACACACACACACACACACACCACACACACACTTTGAGCTGTCTTCATCGCTCCTCTGGTCGGTGTCATTGATCAGGGCTTTGTCACTGAAGCACTGACTGTATGCCAATGCGTTCCATTTTAAATCGACTGAAATCTTTTTTATATTTAACCCTGAACGACCTGCTGCTGCTGAGCTGCATACACAAACCAGGAGCATCACACTGGACAGGACACATGTTGTGCTTTTCTAACAGCATTTGCAAATCACTTTAATCATGATTCCTAATCTGAATGCATATTGTCTGCTTTATTTGCTTTTCCTTTATTTATTTTAGATCTGATTACTCTGCATTTTCTGTCTGGAAACTGTCAGATGCAACAATCATTAATGCATTTGAAAGAGTTATGTAAACTATAATAAACAACACGATGTAAACGAGAATTGTTGCCATACCTCCAAATCCCGTTAATCCAACCGGTGTCTTTGTGGTATAGTTCCTTTCCCGCTGATCCACTCGGAGCTCTTAATTGTATACGAAATGAAGGAATTTTTTTTTTTTGAAAAACAAGCAGCGGACAGAAGCACCTGTGAGTTGAACCCCGCGTGCTGCTGTTGTGCTGCTGTGTGAGAAACCTCGCGCGTCTGTGGGAGCGAGCGTCTCCGGGCCACGCGCACCATCGTTAAATGCGCGCTCACGTTGGTGAACAAAAATAACGTTTCCAAGCTGAAAAACAAACAAAGTTTTAGTTCCAATATTTTTTACAACATGTTTTCACGTCATTGCTGTACATTTTCTTGCATCATGTAACCCTATTCACGTAACAACTTTTGTGTGGGAAAGGTGTTGAAAATGTTCCTTCAAACCAATAATAATAAAAAATCACAACTGCCCACTTATAAAAACTGGCTGAAAGGAATTACTAACATTAATGCATTCAGTGCAAACCTGATGGCTTTTTACAAATTCAATATTTGTATTCATAAATGAATGAAATACATTGCTATCAAATATCAAACAATGAAAGTGATTGTTTTACAGGCAAAACTTGCTCTTATTAATGGCTGTTAACTGATATATGAAAGCCATACTTACCTTTGACAAAGCATGCTTTTTTAGCAAATTCCACAGTGTGCACTCTAGATTTAATCGGATCAAAGCATACACCAATCACACAGTTGGTGGCTCAGTAAAAGCAAGGATAGCCATCCTAAACTATATGCCGACGAGACATCTGAAGATTAAAATAACAGTTTTTTAGACTAAAACAGTTTGTGTGTATTCTTGTCCTGTAGTTTCCAGGCCTAATACATAGTGTCTTTAAGTACTCTCTAATAAGGTAATTGTCAATGATGATGGTGTGGCACTTTTGTCTGTTTAAAAAAAACTAAAATAGGCCATTTTAAGTTATAATAGACCTGCCAGACCTGTTCATGTAATCTGCCCAATCAGCGACCTTTGCTGAGGTTTACATAACTAAATGTGTTTCATTTAAGACAGGTAATCAGATAGCATCTCACGAAAATTAGATTAGAGTGCACTTAAAATCCTAACGGTCACACATGCTGTGACTTTCACACAGACAAAAATGATGAGAAAGACTAGAATATTATAAAATGAAATCGCCAAATTGTATCATGTATTATAAGGAGTTACATAAGGAGTGTTTTATGACAGGTAAAAGAGGAAGAGTATTAAAACCTGTCTGCGTGCACAGAGGACAAAACACAGTAGACAGTTAAAGGGTAAGGAAAAAAATCAAACTTGAGTTAATAGATGACAAAAAGCTGTGATATGTTCAGAAATGTCCCTCTGAGTTTCTCTTTCTGCAGTCTGCCTCTCACCAATCTTCAGAGCATAGTCAGCTGTGTGGCAGGAGAGATAAGAGGATGATCGATTTGTTTTGCAGCACAGACAGACAGTCAACCTTTCACTGCTCAAATGTAATTACTCAGAACAAGGGGGAAGAAATGAGAGGATATGTACGGTGGCCCGGAAGTGCAAGACACCACAGCATTTCATAAAACACCACATCATTTCAGAAAACACAACAGCATTTCACAAAACACTACAGCATTTCAGAAACACAACAGCATTTCAGAAAACACTACAGCATTTCAGAAAACACTACAGCATTTCAGAAAACACTACAGCATTTCACAAAACACTACAGCATTTCACAAAACACTACAGCATTTCAGAAAACACAACAGCATTTCAGAAAACACCACAGCATTTCAGAAAACACTACAGCATTTCAGAAAACACCACAGCATTTCTGAAAACACCACAGCATTTCAGAAAACACAACAGCATTTCAGAAAACGCCACAGCATTTCAGAAAACGCAACAGCATTTCAAAAAACGCCACAGCATTTCAGAAAACGCAACAGCATTTCAGAAAACGCCGCAGCATTTCACAAAACACAACAGCATTTCACAAAACACAACAGCATTTCACAAAACACAACAGCATTTCAGAAAACGCAACAGCATTTCAGAAAACGCAACAGCATTTCAGAAAACACAACAGCATTTCACATTGGACGGAAAGGGTATTTCTTTAGGGAGAACACTTCTTGTTTGTGATTGGACAGAGCCAGCCAGAGAAGCACTGCTGTGATTGGTTGTTTTTGCTGCCAGTCAAGAAATGACGCTTCGTGATCGGTCAGCACCCGACAGCGCAACATGTCATATACAGTCTATGGTCCCAACACATCAGCCGTTAGCTGTTAGCACACACTCAGAGCTCACAGCTCCTCATATCTGTTCAGAAACGGGACAAAAGTTAAACAAGTACAAACCATAGACTGTATATGTCATGGCGAATACAGTCGCTGCTTTATTTATGTCTGTATGACGTTGTTGTGAGTGTGGACGGAGCAGCTAGGTTAGTTTAGCCTGATGGATCCGATTCCATTCAGAAAACACGCATTTTAAAAGCTTTTCGCCTGCCGTCTTGTCTGCAGACTTGTCAAAGCATTAATTCATGGATTTTACTAACCGGTATCAGTATGTAGTTACTTCGGCATCACTTTGAAACGTGTATTACAATTAAATCATGGTCAATATGTTCATTTTGTTGTCGAGTTTCACCGCAGCTGTCAGTGTTTACTCCTGTCATTCAAACAAGACGTGCTGGAGAGGGGGCGGATCGATCAGGCTAAACTAACCTGTAGCTGCTCCGTCCACACTCACAACAGCGTCATACAGACATAAATAAAGCAGCGACTGTATTCGCCATGACATAGACAGTCTGTGGTTTGTACTTGTTTAACTTTTGTCCAGTTTCTGAACAGATATGAGGAGCTGTGAGCTCTGAGTGTGTGCTAACAGCTAACGGTTGATGTGTTGGGACATGTTGCGCTCGGGTGCTGACCAATCACGAAGCGTCATTTCTTGACTGGCAGCAAAAACAACCAATCACAGCAGTGCTTCTCTGGCTGGCTCTGTCCAATCACAAACAAGAAGTGTTCTCCCTAAAGGAATACCCTTTCCGTCCAATGTGAAATGCTGTGGTGTTTTCTGAAATGCTGTTGTGTTTTCTGAAATGCTGTTGTGTTTTCTGAAATGCTGCGGCGTTTTGTGAAATGCTGTTGTGTTTTCTGAAATGCTGTTGTGTTTTCTGAAATGCTGTTGTGTTTTCTGAAATGCTGTTGTGTTTTCTGAAATGCTGCGGCGTTTTGTGAAATGCTGTTGTGTTTTCTGAAATGCTGTTGTGTTTTCTGAAATGCTGCGGCGTTTTCTGAAATGCTGCGGCGTTTTCTGAAATGCTGCGGCGTTTTGTGAAATGCTGCGGCGTTTTGTGAAATGCTGTTGTGTTTTGTGAAATGCTGTTGTGTTTTGTGAAATGCTGTTGTGTTTTGTGAAATGCTGTTGTGTTTTCTGAAATGCTGCGGCGTTTTGTGAAATGCTGTTGCGTTTTGTGAAATGCTGTTGCGTTTTGTGAAATGCTGCGGCGTTTTGTGAAATGCTGTAGCGTTTTCTGAAATGCTGCGGTGTTTTCTGAAATGCTGTTGTGTTTTCTGAAATGCTGTTGTGTTTTGTGAAATGCTGTGGTGTTTTGTGAAATGCTGTGGTGTCTTGCACTTCCGGGCCACCGTAGATATGGGACAGAGCTGAGGAAAAGAGATACGGTCTGGACGTAGAGATACAGATGAGGAAATTATTAATGAAGCAGAGGAGAGATTCAGAGAATAAGGGGCTAATACTGCTTGGTGTGTTTGGTGTCTGGTCCTGAGGAGTTTAAAAGTTAAGGGGCTTACTGGTAATAAAGCCTACCCAGACTCCACCTGTAACATCTGCTGACATCTGCTGGACTCTCTGTGAATTTTTTTAACTAAACGTAGCAAACACTTTTCTTTTTGGCAGCCACTACAAACACTGTTCTTCAGAAATGTCCTCTGGCCTTATTTCATTGACTGGCCAGAGGTTGAGTTTATTTAACCCAGCAGAGCATGAACTGAACGCCCTCCATTTGTATCCTTTCAGGAACATCGAGCTTTGTGTGCCGCTCTCTGCCTCCAGCCACAAAGTCACTCTCCATCCATTTGTGAACAGCATCGTGCAGGTTGCCATGGTAATTCATCTTAGCAGCAGCATTTCAGGTCAACAAGGAGCACTCGAACACCAACAATGCACATAAAAGGATATCTGTCTCCCTATCCACGTCTATCTGTGAACTGATGTACCGTTATGGAGATAATAAGGTCATCATTTCAACAGCTGTATTTTTGACACTATGGCTGTCACAATATCAGATTTACAATTCAATATACATATACCACCCCTACTTGGCACAATGACAGCAATTTTACCTATTGTGCTATCTTCAGTTACAGCTTGAATATTAATTAACATTAGCAACAGATTTTAGAGAAGTTTTTAAACATTTCAAATTAAAAACGTGGGGCCAAATCTTACACAGTGCTTAAAGGGGCACAAAATGAGGAATGGGGGTTATACCCACTATCTACCCACTTTGCAGTCTCTAATAGGGGACAATTTTTACTGTCAGCATGAACAGGAATAACATTGAGACCATTAACTAGCTTTGTTTTAAGATTGAAATATTTTTAGAATTCTGCATTATAATTAAGGAACATACAAAGAGCATGAATAATATGGATACACAAGTGAAAGTATCTCTGCAAAACTTTCTTAGTGGTTTCCATCACAGCATGTCATTAAACTTTCTGGCACAGTGAGAACAGATTTAAGCCAAAGACGCAGCAAACAGCGGGGTCTCTTCCCATCATGCACCTCTTCTGTGCTCCAGTAAGTGGCATCTATTAAATGTCCAGGTTTTGTGAGTTTTTGTTGATAACCAACACCATGTGCTGTGGCCCAAACTCCCACAGCAGCCACATGATACAAAAAAAAAAAACTTCAGTTTTTAGAAACTGTAAAAGGAGCCGTGGGTGATTCTTTGAATCAAAACCAAATTTCTTGTGAGGCTCACTGTCAAAAAAATGTTTTTACTCGCACTTATGAATAGAACAAAAGACAAAAGACAGTTATGTCAACAATAAGATATAGTGTATTAAAGCAGATTAAAAGTATTCAGACTACAGCGCATGTAAGCACACATGTTAAATCAGCAAACAAAAAGAG